TACACAAAAAATTATAACATAAAATTCAATTATGCAAGCAATGCGTGAGAGAACTATGAATGTGATATGATAAAATACAACACCCCACATTCAATAGTTCCTTACATGCATTAACTCATATTAACAGCTCGGTAGATTTCGAGAAAAATTTAAGGACGGGTTTTACCCGGTGATGCAAAATGACACCATCACCAAGGCAAAAGCCATCCCCAAACAAATTCAAATGACGAAGACTGGCTCGTAACTCGTATATGCAGAAACCACGGTTGCGATATGCTCGATTCGATATATCGCATGCCTAGTTTCTTGCAGACACAAAGCGAGATTGACCATCGCGTTTCGGCGAACTCGCCCAGACAGACTGCACCCAGTGATGATTAAATATCCACCGAACTGGCTGTAGTCCATCGAAGCGCGAACACCACCAAGCTGCAGAACGTTGACTGTCAACAACACATGTAGGGAACTGAAGTTGCGATTTCAATCAAACTCAAATCACACCTTGCAGTTCCTTAAATGTATAATTTTTAGACCGCCGACTGCACTCTTAAAGTGCAAGATGTGTTCTGAAACAAACAGATCAAATCAAAAATATATATACCTCGGGAACCATCAAAATTCTTGCCAATTACATCAAATTCAAATTAACTAATTGTTAGGCACTAAGTGAGATGTTAATAGCACTGAATCACAACTAATAATGCGTAATGAGAGCGAGGGATATAATTACCATTCATGTCTATGTTTATGCTGGGAATATCAGATTATTTGTTTATATTTGATTAAATATTTTTCTTAGGAATTTATACCTTTGATTTCTTCGTTAATTAGAGGCGATATTGAAATGTTATCAATGTTTATGCTAAGTGTATTTTTAATGCAACAACTTCCGACCAAAAACTATTGATTCAATGGTCACACAAATAGCATTAAAATAACAGAGGAAGTTTGATAAAGTGTGTCACGTCAAAGAGATCTTTTATCATTGTATAGGCCCTAACAAGCACCCTTGTGGCATGTAAGTAGTTTTTGTTGCAATCGCAATGGTGGCCACGATGTCGTCATGACTAAATAGAGTATTTATTGCTCTTTTTCACAATAACAAATCAAAATCATTGCAACTAATTTGGTTGTGTTGAAGTGAAACTGATCAAGTCGGTTGTAGCAGCACAAAAATGAGATTTTGGAAATAAAATTCAGAGCGCTTTTTCCATCTGATTTTGTAGGATGGTTCTATTTTTATGAGGATTTCAAGTTTGCTTGTAGAGCGGAAAATCCAAAAGGAAGGGTATAAGTTAAGTTATTAAAATATCGTGTTATCTACGTCTAAGCAACGTATAATTAGACGAGCTTTCAATTGATACAACGCCCATCGGGTATGTTTTAGTATAATGAGAACTTGTACCGGGTGGCCAAATAATCATGACATATTACTACCTATCTTGGAAGGTAATGAACACACTGTTGAGTAGCATTTTTTATTACGAATACGATGTATGGCACACAAAAAAAAACAACAGTTGGAAACTTTTGGTTTCAACAGGATGGTGCACCCTCACACAATGTCCTAATATACCTACCGGACAAATTTCTTGCAAAATGGAAAGTTGTCCGATAGGTATTCTCGCACCAATAGAGCGTTGTGCGCGGGTGCACCATCCTGTTGAAACCAACATTTTCCAACTGTTGTTTTTTGTGCCTTATATCGTTGTATTTGTAATAAAAAATGCTACTCAATACAGTCTGTAAGTTGATGGTGATTTCTTCAAAACGAAACGTTGTATTGAAAACCACTCAACAGTGTCTTGTAGAGCTCAAAAAGTGGCAATGAGAAAGTGTTTTTTTTTTGTAACTGTTCAAATAACATCAAAAGAAATCGGCAAATTTGTTTTTTTCGGGCATATCTTCGGGAGTAATCGGAATTTTCTGGTAGTCTTTAAAGTATGATAATAACTGTTTAATTGCGCAACTTTTACCTAATTGGAGATGCCCATGATAGACATGCTTATCTTGGAAACAGTGTATGGTACCTATACCGCTCATGATAGTGTTAGTGTCATCAGAATCGTTAATTAATACTTTTATTAATGAGTTATTTTCTAAATCCATTATAAGGAATGACTGTCTAGTTTTTTTTAAAAGAAAAATTTTGCAAGCACATTTTTTTACCTGTTTTTTATACTCTTTCCATTGATGCATAGTAAAGATATGGTTTGCATTTGAAAATTTCGAGTTTTTGACCGCTTATTGGTATTATTTTCGAATCACATTTGAAAATCAGGTCCATAACATTTAATAGCGTGGACTTTTAGCACATTCGTGAAAAAACATTTTGCTAAGTTGTCAGACAACAGTGAAATGGCTATTTTGCTGAACTTCTGAAACTCTGAAAAAATGTCAAATATCTTCGAAACCATGTCAGTTAGACATACCATCATTTGACATAATCATACTGATTATTTATGAGGAATTCGAAAATGCCAACAGAAAGTGCCATTTGAAATAAGAAACTTCCGGAAAAGCTGCCATCTTGAAAATATTTAAATGTTTCCTTTTGATCAATTATTCCAAAAATAAGGTGACCAACCGTCCCGATTTGATCGGGACATGTTTAGATTTTTTATGGCCCCTCCCGATTTCATAAAGCGTCCCGATTTATCCCGATTTTGCCCTAGTATTTTTGTATCGTCCCGATTTATGTGTATACCCACCTACAACAAACAATGCGGCACCCAACAGTACCCAGATTACAGTTACGTTACATTCAATTCACTTGGAAAAGCAAGACCGAGATAACAGATATACCTGATGCGCTGACGTATTAAAAATTTTGAAATAGTATGCGTCATGCATTCTGGTAGTGCAACCGTTGAGTGAAGACTGAAGATTACTCAATGGTGCAACAGCCAACAGTCAGTTAGATGGGTAAGCAAGTGGGGGGGGGGGGGGCGCAGTGGTGTCCCGATTTTTTAACATGGAAAGTTGGTCACCTTATCCAAAAAGGTAATGGGTCCCGAATTGAAATTCCAAACCGTTCATGAGATACTTCTAATGATCCACTTAAAAACACCACCCTGTATACCCTTGTCGTCTCGATTGTTTTCTCTTGACTGTGTCTTTTTCAATATTAATTCTTCTTATTTTAATATTGGGACGCCATCTTGGATTTCTACGGAATGAGATAGTGGACAAAGAAAGAAAAATAGTGACATGTCAAACTGACAAATGGACCAAAGCCATGTTGATTCCGAAAGTTCTAGTTATCTGTGGATGTTTTGTTGAGAAACGAATGTAAAACATTTGATGTTGAAACTTTTCTTGTAAATTTATGGTAAAAGTATGTACAGCGTGTCACGTCATTATTTTTCTTTTTTTGTCCTTTATCTCATTTCGTAAAAATGTGATATGGCGTCCATAAGAAAGTAGTAGGCTGTAGCTTCTACTTCTAGCGTGTCATGGAAATTCTGATAACAGATTCAGTTTTTCGATGATATCTCTGTTGTTTTCAAAGATTTTTGAAAAATGCGTTTTTTAACACAGAAAAAGGGGCAACTTGGCCCCCATTTAACTAGCCTGTATTTCTCCCCGTTTCGGAAATCCCAATGGCGAACCATGAATTTTAACCACTCTGTACAAAAAAGCATAGATACTATTATTTCGTTATGTCACTCCAAATCCCATTGGTTGCTGTCATAATTAGAAATAATTTGCGATACTAAATAACGGAATTCTGATCAATTCTGGTGACACCTGTATAGTAATTGTTTATTTACTTTAATTAATATGCACATCGTTGACTAAAATTTCAAATTTTATCTGAAGCCATTTTGAAATGAGAACCTGGATAATAGTTTCATTGTCACCCCGTATATTATATAATAGATTTTTTTTGTGCTGGTTCAGATTTTAACATCCTCCAAGACTCTTTGAGTTTCTTGTTCTTCTTGTATATTGCTCTATTTGTCAACACATTTTTTTCTTAGACTAGTTTTTTCTTCATTTGTCTATTTATCTCCTTGTATTCCCTCAAGTCCTTCTTCTGCTTTTGTGTTGGGCAATTTCTTATATTGTTCCTTTTTCTTTTTTATTATTTCGGCTTTTTCATTGATTTTTTCTGCTTTAGGCTTATGTTTAATTATTGTTTACATGGGAAATCGCACTTAACTCAAACTTCCAAAGGCGACTCGACCGCCACTCATTTTTGATCGCTCGTTACTTCCATGTTGCGCATATTATTTTCCTCCTATTCTGAATCGTGTTTTATAGTTGATGTCTAAGAATGGAATAATCTTTTGACTTTCTACAGAATTAACCCCCCTTCCCCCGCTTCCTTTGAGGATCCCTTTTGAGTTACTCAACCAAACCCCAGCAGAGGACTCGCATTTGATGGTTGAGAATGTATAACTGGGGGTCTGGGGGTACGGAATCCTCCCCATACCACCCCGACTACACGAAAATCTTATGATAGTTGGAAGAAACGTTGAACCTTTGGTTTGTTGAGGAGTAACAGTGCTCATATGCTTCTTAAATCTTTGGTGTATCAACTTTTAAACCATACCTCACTCATCTAATCGTCTTCACTCTAAAATATATAGAAACATTTTTGTTTTGTGTTTGTTCCCTAGCGGTGATCGTGTCAAACTAAAATAAAATAAAATAAAACTAAAATCATTTCCAGCATTTTCTTAGTTTCTAGATTATGGTAGTATGATATTCTAATTTCACTACTTGGTATAAACCTTTTCCCCTGTCAGTATCTGAAAATAAAAGTTCTGTTCTATTTTCCATTGATATCTAGTAAGCTATGACCTATTGAAACAAAAGAATTACGCCTTCAAGTAGGCCCTTTTTTCCGTTTTGGCAAATAAATCACCCTGTATGATTTACGTTTTTGTCTAAATTACTTCAGTTCAACAAAGATAAAGACGTTTAAAAAATGTGATACACAGTATGTTCGGAAAGTTTAGGGCTATTATAGAGGGCTTGTTTCTTTTTTGCAGGTCAGTTTTAAAGGATTTGGAATATCAGACAACCACTTAAATGCCTCTTCCAAATTCATGTACAATGGAGCCCAGTATGTGCTAAAGCATGGAAGCGTGATCATCGCTGCTATAACATCATGCACAAACACGAGCAACCCTAGCGTTATGTTAGGCGCCGGTTTACTTGCGAAGAAAGCAGTAGCTGCCGGTCTGACCGTAGCTCCATATATAAAGACCAGCTTATCACCTGGTTCCGGTGTCGTCACCTACTACCTACAAGAATCTGGTGTCATTCCCGCTTTGGAGCAGCTCGGATTTGACGTGGTCGGCTACGGTTGTATGACATGTATAGGAAACAGCGGCAGTATCGACGAAAACATAGCAAACGCGATCGAAAAGAACGACCTGGTGTGCTGCGGAGTGCTATCCGGCAACCGTAACTTCGAAGGCCGCATTCATCCCAGTACCCGAGCAAACTACTTGGCGAGTCCGCTGCTTGTAATCGCCTACGCAATTGCGGGAACTGTAGACATCGACTTTGAAAAGGAACCTTTGGGTCAACGTACTGACGGATCTCCAATATACCTGAGAGAGATTTGGCCCACTCGCAATGAAATCCACGCCATTGAAAAACAGTACGTCATTCCCGCCATGTTTCAGGAGGTATACGCGAAAATTGAAACGGGCTCGTCGAACTGGCAAGCTCTAAACGCCCCCTCGGGCAACCTGTATACTTGGGAAGATTCCTCCACGTACATCAAGCACCCGCCGTTCTTCGAGGGAATGAGCAAAGAATTACCGTTACATCAACCTCTCGAAAATTGCCGCGTGTTGCTTTTCTTAGGCGACTCTGTTACCACCGACCACATCAGCCCGGCCGGTTCCATCGGAAGAAGTTCTCCCGCGGCGCGTTACCTCGCCCAGAGAGGTATAACGCCCAAGGATTTCAACTCGTACGGATCCAGGCGAGGGAACGACGCCATTATGGCGCGCGGAACTTTCGCCAATATTCGTTTGGTTAACAAATTTTTAAATCGTGCGGCGCCGAAAACGCTCTACTTGCCGACTGGTGAAGAGGTGAGAGTAGTGTCAAACTTTTACTTTGCTGATTGTAGGATTTTAGATGGACGTGTTTGACTGTGCCGAACGATATGCTGCAACTAATACTCCTTTAATATTGGTATGCGGGAAGGATTATGGTAGTGGGTCTAGTCGTGATTGGGCTGCAAAAGGACCATATTTATTGGTAAGTTGTTTGTCTAGATTTCTAGAATTATGGTTAGCTAAAAACAATGTGTCTATGATATAGTTTTGGTTGTTTTTAAACTGTTCTTCCTATAGCCATGCTAGAAGCACGCCTGATGGGTATGTTTTCTTCTTACATTGAAGATTCGCAGAGTAACTGAATGTGCTGCTCATTTAATCGAAGTATGTTTGCTATATCAGAAGCAATAATCGACGTGTTCCTAACCTTTATTGGATATAAAAATAATAATCTGTACCACAGATATACACCAACACCAGCGCCCTCTATTGAGCAGCAGCCGTCTGAAATTGTAAATGACGCTTATGGATTTAGGCAAAAAATTGAAAGCCCCTAAAAATTGGATATTTCCAATTCCTTATTATTATTGGTGTTATTACAGTGATATGCTATGACTGAGGTAAACTGAGCCACCATTGTTTAATTTAAGAAAGAATTTGCCTTACAGTTGGTGCAGCATAAGCGTATTCTTACAGTTTTAAACGGTGCATGTTTATACTGCTGCTCAATAGAGGGCGCTTTTAAGTATACCTAAACCTGTTACCCATAAAATGCATAAGGTGAGCAGTCTGCTATCTGTGCCTCTACTAACTGAACTGCAGCAATTACCTAACATATGATGCAATCTGAGTAGAAATCCCGCCCGCGACAATTAATTATTAAACAGTTGATTATTGTTCCTTTCAGGGAGTACGTGCGGTCATCGCCGAATCCTACGAAAGAATACATCGCTCCAATCTTGTCGGCATGGGGATAATACCTCTGCAATTTCTACCCGAGCAGAACGCGTCGACCTTAGGTTTAACCGGACACGAAGTGTACAATATCGATTTACCAAGCCAGTTAAAGCCGGGACAATATATAACTGTCAGTCTTAGCAACGGAAAGAGTTTTGAGGTTATCCTCAGGTTCGATACGGAAGTCGATTTGACTTACTATCAAAACGGTGGCATTCTCAATTATATGGTGCGTAAAGTTATTAGATCTTAATTTGTTTTAAATATCAAACATTCGATGTGATGGGGTAATTTTTTATACTTTTTTTTTTTGTTATTGTATGCATCGGGTTAATTTTAACACAGGACATGTGCATTTATTAGGGATGCTGTTGTTAATATCTTAATATATTGATGTTCTTAAGTTTGGGGGTTTGTGTCTAGTTACCTCTTCCTCTACTCCTTTAACTGTCATGTAGAGAATCACAAGAGTAGTATTGTATAGATTAATGTAAATAACAAGTTAGATACATTCAGTAAAATTAATTGGTTTAAAAATGGTCTAGGTAGGTACCATATAATGACCATTGACAAGAAAATCGCCGAATGAATAGGATGTTGTAGTTGTTTTAAAATATTTTATTTGTGGAAGTTGAAAATATAACAATGTATTACACTATAGAGGGATTTCCATATACACTTTAATATGTTGTAATAGGTATCCTAACACAAACATGTTTTGAGCTGCTGTTTATCAACTGTAACTGTTGTGGTAAGTAGCAAGATGTCCAGAACAATGTCTTCTCAAGGTAGACAGTACTTTGTAGACTTTGTTGTTGTCTAATCCTGTCACTAACCAACCAATGTTTCCCACATGTAATAACAAACTAACAAATTGGGAAGGAAAGCCATGATCTGCAACAAATAACATATACTTTGGCTTTCAGATTTGCATTCGGGTAGTAAGTCTACAATAATTAAAAACAAAATAGGACCAGTAGTATACTCTTGGGGACCGCCACTAAATATCTTGAAGATGAAACTTTTCGGAATGAACAAATAGACATTATCCCGTTACCCAAATATGTTTAGCATAAAATCCCAACTGCATTTTTAAATGACAATTTTAAGGTAAGCGTTGTTCTTAATTTTATTCACGGTATATCTTCAAATTGCTCACTAGAATGCATCTAGTGTCAAAACCTCTGGTAATGTTTTGTACAGGGTGTGTTTCGATATCATGCGTGGCAGGAGACAAAAATGAATGGTAAACGAATTACAGAATTGGATGCGCTTTGTTTTGTATAAAAAAACAGCTAAATTGCAACATTATTTTGTAGTTCTTTCGGTCTCCACCGTAATTTGTGTACTGAAAAAATTGACTATTTCTAATGGTATAGTGTTGGTAGAACCTTTAGGGCCTTTTTCATTCGTTTCAGGTGCACAAATTAGACGAGGTGCATTTAAACTAAGTGGTTGATCTTGTGTTACTAAACGCAACGTTTCGTGACATACATTCGTTTATTATGTATACATTTGTCCGTTAGTGCTATGTTTACATTGGAATGTGATTCAAACAACCCCCAAAATTATAACTTGGTTCATATAAATAGGGGCTGGCTCGTTAGTTGGGAAGGCCGGGGAGAAGGGTAAATCGAAGAACAGATGGTTTTGTTTTTTGATAATCTCTTACATTATTTTGTAAAGTTATTCTTTTGCGAAACTCTTATAAATGAATAGTGTTAATATTATTTTTATTACCATTAATAACGTCAAGGATACATGTGTTATTTTGGTGGTATATGGTTTTTGGTACTATTAATGGATTTTTTGTAGTTTACTTTTAATTAAAAATCTCGCAGAATGCAGGACCCTTTTGTATGCATCTAGATCAGGGGTCGGCAACCTGCGGATGCGGCCCTTTTGATATAAAGTTGCGGCTCTCCGTATTTATCTAAAGAAATTAGTTCATTTGTTCGAAATTATTTGTTTACGAATTGAAAAGTACACTTGCAGCAAATAATTATCTATTTTCTGACACTTGTTTACTTTCTGGTTTTTTTTTATTATAGCAGCCTACTCCGATGTATAAACACGTAATTAATTAATGAGTAGGTACTTTTGTGAAAAATATTGAACATAAAAACTGCTGGGTTTAAGCACAGGGCACCCCTTATAAACATTGAAGAGAACACAAAAGACAATCGAATAGCGGTAGTTCCTTTGAAAGAGAATAGTTATAGCAGTTTGAGTTAATGGCATTGAAACAAGTAAAAATATGCAGGATGGTCTATTTAAAAAGATCAGTTATTTATTGGCATCGTAAAAATGGGACACCCTGTACATTCAAGAATAATTTCTGTAGATCCACAACCACCAATATTTTTTACCATGTATCAGCTATGTAGGAAAAACCGACGCACTGTTGCAGGACCCTGTATATACTATAATATTAAATCAAAAATTTTTTGTGGCTCTTTAAAAACTGGGAAATTTTGTAAATTGTAATGTTGACTCTTCCGTTTCAATAGGTTGCCGACCCCTGATCTAGATGCTTGAAAAGTTGAAGCGTGGTGCACAGCACAAAGAAGACAATAGTATTACTGATGAGGAAATCTGCATCATTTGGCAGTGAACATGATTCAAAATCCGAACAGCATGGAAGTGAAAATTCGGAGGAGTAAGAGGGTCTTTGTTTGACTATCAAGAAAATTAAAGGAGGAAAAAGAAATCTAACCATATGGTAATCAGGTAGCATGTTTTTCTAAACATAAACAACAATATAATAGTTATTTATTATACAAGATGATAAAGGGATATTTTAACCATTGAGTGAAAGATACTTTCACGAGATGGTTAGTTTCCCTTTATCGTCGTGTATAATACAAAACTTAAAAGTCATATAAATCATTGTAAAGCTTCTGACAATGCGCACTCATTTGTTTCACTTTATCTACCCTTAAGCAAGGATGCTATATAATACCACGGTCCGTATACTAATAATACATTATATATCAAGGTAGAGAAGTACAGTATTATTGCCTGAGCACCAAGATTACATCTCGAGGGGTGTAAGGTGCGAAGGCAATAATAGACTTCTCTACCGTGGTATATATACTATTTTTTTCACTACTAGCACTTGAAATCCTCTAAATTAACATATTATATTGATAAGAAAGTGAACGGTTGGACAGAATTTTTTTGTTTATTAATTTAACATGTCAATCAAGTACGTAGAAGTACAAGTCAAACGGGCCGTATTTTGTTCTGTCATTGAGATATTTTCAAAGAGTAATTTCGTTCGAATTTTTTCAAAATGTGATAATTTTAGGTATGTAAGTTCTCTGGAAATGGCGGATGGTGGCAATTATTCATTTTAGAGAACTTGTCTAAACGTTTATTGAGCGAAATTTCGGGTTGTGTTTTCTAAAAGTGACAGCGTGACATAGTTCTCATTATTGACTACTAGTTAATAATATCCACATTATTAACCACTTTGAACAAATGCCGAGAAAGCCTACTTTACAAGTGGAAAAAAGGTTAATATAATCATGTCAAGAGACGCTAGTAGTGAAATAGTATTTTACATTATTAGCCAGGTAAGTGAGTTTTTACTGGCGATAGGAGAAATTGACTAGCGAGCCATTAGGCGAGCTTGTCATCTCCTAGAGCCAGTAAGAACTATTACCTGGCGTATAATGTACAATATTTTATTTGTTACTCATTTGTAAACGTAAATAATTAGTTCTTAAATTGATCTTGAAGAAATGTCTAAAATATCATGTTATCCATGTAACAGAGACTTCGCATTAATTCTGGCCAATGAAATTACTAGATTACTAACTAAATTTTTACAGGTCTGCTGTCAGTTTTACAAGTCAGTAGCGTTTAAACATGACGTTTACCCGTTTGCGTTTTGTCTTGTTAATCAACGTTTACAACTGAGTAACAAATAAAAAATATAATACAGGATTGCTCGATTACTGAATGTTTTCGCCGCGTGTAGTGACGTCACTGGCGGACCCAGATATGCACCGCATGCTTTGATTTTTCGATTTGTGCACCACTCTCATTTGTATTTTATATTTGCAAGATTCTAAGAGCTCCTTCTCACGATGCATTTTTGAAACGCCGTAGAGTGGACATTTTCTTTGAAAAAAAGATACAGTTATGCGGAAATCTATTCCTCCCAATGAGAATTTAGCTTTATTTCTCAGATGAGTAAGAACTGAAATTTATTACAAGTCTCTTCTGTACAATTTCTGTTATAATTATGGAATTTTCCGCACCGTGCTACAATGGTTTTTACCACACAATATGAAGTGTTTAGGCTAATACGGCTTCGCCTTCCTTCAAAGGTACACAAATATGTACGCTCTTTACTAAAGAAAATGATACACAAGTAAATCAACTCTTCTCAAACCAGACACCATTTTTTTAAAAAACGAAGCCACTTATGGTACGTGCTCTTTTGTTTTGCGTGAAGGCGCTTCTGAAAATCGCTTCGTGCTACTTGCGGCGCTGCAAATCGCACCGTGTGAAGGGGTCACGCTACCAGCCGCTTCAAAAAACGCCGGGTAAGAAGACTGCCCTCCCGAGCGCTTTCTTTACAAGGTAAATATCCATTTTCATTTTAACTAACTATAATTGATCGAACTCGAGGGTTTCATTATTTCATTTCATTATTTCATACTTTAACTCTCTAACAATTGGATTTGTTTTTCCTTGTTTTTATTACACTTCGTACTTCTGTGTTTATGTTACCAGCAATGTGTATTCTGTAGTATTGAATCGGTCTATCTGCTTCAGTTTTTCTTGTCTTACGCGAACTACTATATTTTCTTCACTTACACTCATATTACTTTACTTCTTCCATCCTCTTGCCATCCTTCGATAGCTGCTAGTCCTTATCCACATCACGTTCTGTGCCTACTCCTCCATGTCTGGTGGATTCTTACTGGCTTTGTAGAGATCCTTCCATCTTCATTAATAGCAACTTATTTTCGTCTTTTAACATCGATCATTCGTCCATTTCTTTTCCGCAACCACCTTGAGACATGTCTCCCTAACTTTACAAGGTCTTCTGTCTTGTTAAACTTGCCTTTTAGCCATTTTCTCTTGTTCTGAGGCCATCTGTTATAGCCTTCCTTTCTTGTTCTGTCGCTTATACTTCCTCCTTTCTTGTATCCTATCAGCTTCGATTCTTCAATAAACCTCCACTAGCTACCTTGTCGCCACTTCCCATCTATCACTGTGTTCCAACAGCCCCCTCCCCCACCCCATTGACGCCTGAATAAGAAATAAATTTGATTTGTTGCGTTTGACTTGGTCTTGTAAACTACTTCACACTAATTTTTGCATCAGCTAACGTACCTACTGTGCTACAATCTCACTAATACATTTGACGAAGGTGTTAGCAATAAAATAAATGAAAGACAAAATAAACTTTTTATTCATTATAATTACATAAACAACTACAATTTAAATACCTTTAATGCATTGTGATCTGTAACATGCTTTCGGTAATCGCCTTTGTCCGTTGTTAAGTACCCACAATGAATGCACTTAAACTCGATAACGGCACATAAACTGTATGTATTCCTGTAATCAGGTTGATTACCTTTGTATACTTTTTCAGGATTATGCTGAAGAGTATGTCTTTTGAAACACGCCTTACGTTTAGTTCTAAATGGACACTGAACACATTGAAATCCCGTAAAAGTTCTATCAGTCAAATGCTCTTCCCCTACTCTTTTCTGGCAAGATCTGAAATGCTGTATTAGATTTCCTTTGGAATTTGCCCAGTATGCGCAGTTGTTACAGTGGAATATTGGAAACTTGCCATGCACACGAGCATGCCTTTTTACATTAGTCTTACTTTTCGAGGTATACGAACATCGATTGCATGTATAATCGGCACTGCACAGATTGTGCTCGGCCATATGTGCTCTCAGAGATGATTCACCGAAAACCGTATACGGACATTGATTGCATTTGAACAGATTCACTTCGCCGTGAATTTCACTATGCCTTTTCAGGCTATTTGTGTATTTCGTTTCGAACGGACACCGAGCACACTTTAATGGTTTTACGCCATTGTGTACCCTACAGTGTTTAACGAAGGATTCGCGACTGTTTGTTGAAAAATAACAAACGGCACATACATGCATAACGCTAGAAATCTCATGTTGTTTAATGTGAGCGTTAAAAGTATGATCTGAGAATGTTGTAAATGCACACTGATCACATGTTAATAATTGTGTATTTTTATGTACCTTAACGTGCTTAATTAAGTTCCCCTTAAAGTTTGTGGCATAGGAACATTGTGCACAGTGTAATGGAGTCGGAGAGGGATAATGGAATTTTTTGTGGTTGTTAAATGAGCTTCTGTGCTTTGTTGTAAAAGTACATTTTGGGCATCTATGCTGAATAGCTAACGGGTCGTGGTTTCTCTTATGTTCTTTAAGAAGTCCCTGCTTGTCAGTTATGTAAGTGCACTGATTACATTTAAACAGTGATTTATGTGCTAATAAACAATGTCTTCGCAACATACGGTGGGTCTGAGCCGTGTGAGGACATTCGGTGCATTTAAATAGTCCAAATTTGCCTTCTTTTTCACTTTCACAGTTTAATTCACCACGTCGTCCTTCCAAAATTTGAGAGCAAGGATTGACCGAAGCTTTTTCATAGTCCCTGGGCGTAACTGTTAGGGTGTCGGAAGACGGCAGCTCTAATTCTTCTACACAATCCTTGATCTTTGTGGCATTTAAATTGGTGCTAGTGGTGATGGTTGAATCTAATTCGGTTTTAATGAAACTATTAAGATATATTTCAGTATTGTCGAGTTTTTCGTCAATCTCGAATTCAGTCTTAATTTCCATTACCTTCGTTGAAACGAATATTACAATAAATGAAATGAATTACATTCCACTTACCTGTTCCTGAATAGCTTAAAAGATTTTGAAAATTGAAAAACACAAAACCTAACCTAAATATTATCAAAGACATGTACATAGGCATTTATACGACACTAGATGGCGCAAACCTTTAATTATGGGCGGGAAAATTTGAAATGGTCTTACAGCTTGATAATTGATACAATTCGAAAGTTATAAATAAAGGGGGACCATTTTCCTTCATACAAATCTATTCTGTAAATCAAAAAATATGCACACTGGCCTAATATTTCTGCTATTCGTTGTAAGTCTACTACTAACCACTTTCTACAACATATTAATTGCTTAATAAATTGTAAGTTTATAATTAATTGATTGATAACTTGCGACAGACGATTTACGTCTACAATTTTTCGTAAGGATTGCAAATATAATTAAAGATTTAAAGAATTTATTAAATTTGTCTAATATCAACAACGTTACTTAGTTATCGTATTCTACCATTTACATAGTTACCAAATCAATGTATGAAATCTTCCTTTCTCTGATATGTATAAATAAAACTAAGAAATAACATTAAATTCACAAAAAAAAATTAATGGGTACAACGACAAATTTTTATTTAATTTAACTATTATTAAGTTTACTTAGAACCACAATCGTTTAAATAACGTGGTTTTTTAATCATTCTACCTACTCGTGTAAGTCTACTGACATCTTCCATTCCCTGCTTAAAACTACTATTGCTAGTACTGTTAACATTTGTATTATTTGTTTCATTTTGTGTTGGTATATCATTTCTTCCTGGTGCTTCACTCTCATATTTTTGCATGTTTTGATTATACAACGTGTTGCATCGACAAGCGGGATAGAAGAAATCCCATGCAAATTTAAAGGAGATTAATTAATTGACTTCCATAATTATTTTTTAGGAAAACTGTTTGAAATTATGGATTCTACAGGCCACGTTCTATAAGAAAATTTTTTTTCCGGGTCGATCTGAGAATTTTTTTTTGGGCCTCAAAAAAAAGGCAGTGTACAACCTTCTTTTTTTACCAAAAATCGACTGCACCAAACACTTTTTCTTATTAATTTTGGTGCGTAGAATCCAAAACAATTCGTACTTTTTCGATCAGACTTCTCAATCAAAAGTTATAGACTAGAAACCAATTTGAAAAAAATTCAAAGGGCTGTAACTTTTGAACTAGTAGCCCAATCTTGGAACTGTTTGAAATTATGGATTCTACAGGCCCCATTCTATAAGAAAATTTTTTTCGGGTCGATTGAGACAATTTTTTTTTCGGGCCTCAAAAAAAGGCAGTGTTATACCTTCCTTTTTTACCAAAACCGACTGCACCAAAATTTCTCGGGAAAACACTTTTTCTTATTAATTTTGGTGCGTAGAAACCAAAACAATTCGTACTTTTTCGATCAGACTTCTCAATCAAAAGTTATAGACTAGAAACCAATTTCGAAAGAAAATTCAAAGGCCTGTAACTTTTGAACTAGTAGCCCAATCTTGGAAATGTTTGAAATTATGGATTCTACAGGTCACGTTCTATAAGAAAAATAGAATCCAAAACAATTCATAGGTTATTTGAAGAGCATTAAAATCCGCATCTAAAAGAATAACTTTCGATGTTTTTGGTTAGTCCCTTAACGAGATATTGCCAAAAATATTATGTAATTTTTCCTTTCTGATCGCCCCGTATTTACAGGGAGTAATTGAGGTAAAGGTTGACTGGCAAATGAAGTTCTCATAGTGAAATTTAATGCTTTATTTCTATTATTAGCTATGCCACTGTGGTAGGTATCCTTGTCTGGCACGTTGTTGGTATAATTATCCTTGTCTGGCACGTTGATTTGTAAAACGCAAACGTCACGTGAGTGGAACACGATGAGGTATACCTACCTTTACCCATCTCTCTCGTCAAGGGGTTTACAGGTGCTGCCATTCCAGTTACCAAAGTATCAATTTCAATGGGGCAAACGCATTAAATAGTTATTTGTAGAACTAGAGAAGAAAGTGGAGTTTTTCAACTCGAGTTCAAAGCTACGCTCATGTGGCAATTGAACGAGCGTTGAAAAACACTTTCTTCTCAAGTTTTACACACAATTTTTTATGAAACTACAATCAAAAATTAAAAAAATTAACGTATGCATTATGCAATTATGAAGTTTGATACATAGCAATCTAGATACGGGTATGTTTCAATTTTAAATGTCATTAATAAGAGTAATGTAGCAATTGTTCTTTACTTTTCCTCACTAGAGAGGAAAATCGCGTTTTTGTCACCCTTTTCAGAGACGATACTAGTTGTTTCTAAAGATGGTTTTAGAAAAATGACATTTCACGTTGGAAATAATGATAATTCGCATTGTATTCAACTGAAGAAAACGTTGATATTCTCAATTGATATAGTGGAAGTCGCAGTTTATGAAGCGTAAGGGATTTATTTCCTATGAAGCCAAAGTAACAATATTCAAATTAATTAATGTGACAGCCAGATCTTTGTTTTACGTTATTTTGGTTGCATAAAATTAGGGGCACTTCAGAAGGATTTTGTCATTTAAGAGTAGGTAGAAATAGGGAAAAACAATATGGGTAAATCCCTAGGCACGTCTACTTTTTAACACATACACTGTATATGACAATGCAATCCTGATGGGAGTTTTTACTGTGGGGAAATTTTCAAGAAAAGGTCCAACAAAATTTTCCTACAGTCAGTATCGACCTAGGTCCTAGTAGGTATAGTAGGGATGAAGAGATTGTGACGGAATCGTATTGCAAAAAAGATGTCCACATCAAATGTAAAATTGGCAAGTGGAAATGTTCACTTTGAACTACACCCCCAAATAGCTGGGTGTATTATTGACCCGCCACCTTATATTTTAATATACAGTCATTTTTCCTATTCTTCCCACAGTTTCCTCTCCAAATGGAAAACACAGGAATGTGCAGTATAAGAGGAATTGATGGTTTGTTCCATTTGGTCCAATCACTATTCCTGGTATACCCTTATATGTTGATTTTGTACTCCACAGTCATTTTTTCATCAGCTATACTGGTACTCTCCCCAATTCATTTAATAATAATAAAATAAATGGAAGACAAAATAAAGTTTTTTATTCACTATAATTACATGAACAACTACAATTTAAACACCTTTGAAGCATTGTGATCTGTAACATGATTTCGGTAATCGCCTTTGTCGGTTGTTAAGTACCCACAATAAATGCACTTAAACTCGATACCAACAGGCTTGTGTTTAGTGGAGGATACACTTGATGTATTCTGGTAACTGGATTGATTACCAGGATTGTCCGTAAGAGTATGCCCTACTCCCTTCTGGCAAGATCTGAAGTGCTGTCTTAGAGTATCAGTCAAATGTTTATCTTCTACTTTCTTCTGGCAAAATTGAAAGTGCCGCTTTAGAGATAGTTTGTTATTTCCCCAGTATGTGCAGTTATTACAGTGGAATACTGCAAACTTGCTGTGTATAATAGCATGACTTTTTACATTGGTCTTACTTTTCGAGGTATATGAACATTGATTGCATTTATAATCGACATTGGTTATGTGTTCGGCCATATGTTCTTTCAGAGACGATTTTGAACGAACTGTAAAACCACACTGGTCGCATTTCAACAAATTTACTTTACCGTGAGTTTCACTATGCCTTTTCAGGCTTTCCCTGTATTTGGTTTCAAATGGACACTCGTCACACTTTAATGGTTTTGCAGTGTTGTGTACCCTAAGGTGTTTAAGAAAGGTTTTGTGATTCGATGTTGAAAAATAACAAACGTCACACACATACACAACGCCTGAGATATCATGTTGCTTAATGTGGATATTAAACTTATGATTTGAAAATGTTGTAAATGCACAGTGATCACATGTTAGTAATTGTGTATTTCTATGTATCTTAACATGCTTAATTAAGTTCCCCTTATAGTTTGTAGCATAGGAACATTGTGCGCAGTGTAATGCAGTTGGAGAGGGGTAATGTAATTTTATGTGCTTTTTCAATGAGGATTTGTGTTTTGTTGTATATTTACATTTTGGACATCTATGCTGAGTAGCTAACGGGTCATGGTTTCTCTTATGATCTCTTAATAGTCTCGGCTTGTCAGTTAGGTAATTGCACTGATTACACTTAGTAAACAGCGATTTATGTGTTAATAAACAATGTCTCCGCAAGGTCCATTTTGTCTGGGCTATGTGAGGACATTGAGTACATTTCAATTTGCCTGCCTTTTCACTTTCACTGTTTAGTTCACAAGGTTGTTCTTCCAAAATTGGAGAGTGGAGGTTAACCATAGGTTTCTCGTCATCCTGGGATGTAACTCTTGGTAAGTTACAGGACGTCAGCTCTAATTCTTCTGCACAATCCTTGATCTGTGTTGCATTTACATTGGTGCCAGTGGTGATGGTTGAATCTACTTCGACTTTAATGTAACTATTAAGATATATTTCAGTGTTGTTGAGTTTTTGGTCAACCTCGGGTTCAGTCTTGATTTCCATTACCTTCGTTTGAACTAACGTTACAATAAATTAAATGCATTATATTCAATTTACCTGCCTATTTCTGAATAGCTTAAAAGATTTTGATATTAGAAAAGTACCAAACCTAACCTAAATATTCTAACACATGTACATTAGGCATTATACGGCACTAGATGGCGCAAAATTAAATTATGGGCGAGAAAATTTGAAATAAGCATACAGTGTGATTAGATAAAATTCGAGTTGTAAATAAAAGGAACACATTTACTTTCAAACGAAAAAATATGCACATCGGCCTAATATTCAGCCAGGAAGCTGGCTGAACAGCCAGTGTACGGCCGAATACACTACCTATTCGTTGCAAGTCTAATAACCATTTTTTCAATCTTCATTAATTGCTTACTAAATTGTAAGTTTAGACTTAATTGATTGATAACTTGATATAACTAAATAGAAACTGTTAATGGTGTCCCCTAGCTTTCGGGGGACTAACTTACTGGGACATTTCAAAACTATATGTTGTATATGGTTTAAGGAACATCGCTGCAGTGGGGACAGTTAGGGGTTTGGATGGCATTTGATTTAAATAACACCGCCGCGTTAGAAAGACGAAGTCGATTTACCTTAAACCAGATATACCTACAAGACAGTGCTATAACAATTCATTGATATGGTTGTGACAGTTATGCAACCCATCTTACACACAAATTTGGCTGGTGTCTAAGTACAGGGTGAGTCAACGATTGCGCGGAGTAACTTAATACCATGAAGATAAGATTTTTCGATAGTGCTTTTTTGTTATGATATGGTTGAATATTCTCCACATTTTAAAAATATTTGGAGTTTTACAGGGCGTGCCCACACAGTAGGGTGCCAAAATGGTACATTTTTTTAAATAGAACCCCCCCTGACTTTGAATGCATTTTTGAATTCTACGTGTAATTGTACCTCTTTTATTGTATGGTTAATATCCAAAAAACTGGTAGTTTTAAGGATAATTCGATTTGTATGAAAAATTGGGCATTTGCAAGTGTCAGTATATTGTCAAAATTATTAACCTTAATTTTGATTCCAGGTTTTATATCTTTTATCCTGGGTTAAGTAAAAGTAAAATAAATACATCTACTATGAAACATTAACGCACGCAGGCTTGGAGAGGTTTACAACTTCAGCAACGTCACTACTTGCTTCTTATTTGAGCAAGAGGTATCAATGTGTCATCTTTAATAATGTCATTTCCGAGAAATTACCGATTATGCATGGTGTACCCCAGGGGTCCATTCTTGGCCCATTGTTATTTTTAATTTATATAAATGACCTACCTGCATCTTTGCCATCAAAGGTGGAATGCATATTGTATGCCGATGATGCCACACTGATATCTACTGATCAAGTGCTTGACGCTGCGTATTCAACTGTAAAGGAAGGCGTTGCTGCTGTCTCAGAGTGGTGCACGGACAACAAACTAAAATTAAATGCATCCAAAACTACTATTATGCCTCTGTCCTTAAAGAAAGGTGTTATTGAAATTAGTTGCAAGTCAATCTCTTTTTTGGGGTGCAACATTGATTCAAAATTGAATTTGAAATATCACTGCAATAGTGTAAGTAAAAAATTAAATAAATCAATATTTTTACTTACTAGATTGCGTTATAATACCTCTATTAATATTACTACAAGTGCCTATTTTGCCTATGCCCACAGTATTATGTCATATGCCATACTAGCATGGGGTCATAGCTCCCATTGGCATTGCATTTTTAAACTCCAACGTAAAGCTATTAGGGTCATATCTTGTCTTGGTTATAGGGACGAGTGTCGTAAGGCATTTATTGACCTAAGAATTTTAACTCTTCCCTGTATTTGTATCCTTTCTGCAGTGTGTTACGTTAAGCAAAATATGTCTACTACAGTAAAAAGTTCACGACCATAACACTAGACTCAAGGGCAATATTCGCACTGACCTTTGCAGATTGGCAATATCTCAATTTGGTATACGATATCAGTCCCAATTTTTGTTTAATTGTCTCCCAGCTAATATACAATCATTACCTTTTTCTACATTCAAACTGAAAATTAAACAAATTCTATTAAGTAATGCTTTTTATTCGTTCGACGAGTTTGTTAGTTATTGTAAGTCTTCTGCGTTCATATACACAATGTGATTGTAACTATACGTCCGTTTTATTGTCTTATTGTTTTTTGTTTTATGTATCTATCTTTGTTGATGAGTGTAAGTGTATAAACAACAACACACAATAAAATATTATTATTATTATTTTTATTATTAAAAAAATCTAGCTTACAGGGTGTTTTTTTTGGTAGGTTCAAAATTGCAAAACTTCATATTAAAAAATTTCACTTTTTTTAAATGGAACACCTTGTATATTTTTTTGTCATCTTTTAGGTCCTCCAAAAACCTTCAACTTTTGATGTGTCCTATACCTATGTCTGATAGTTTTCGAAACATCTTGGTTTTCCTGGTTTTCATATTCTAATCTTAAATAAGTTTTATGTAATTTACATAATTAGTGAGGTGGCCATGCAAAAAAAGGCAATTTTTATCTGCCTCGTTCAAAGCTAAAATCATATTTATTAATTCATTTTTCGAATAATTCATTTGACTATAAAAACTGGAGAATAAATTTGATAGTAAAAACATAAACAAATATCTTGGTTTTCCTAGTTTTTATATTTTAATCTGAAAGTTCTAATTTACATAATAATGAGGTGAATATGAAAAAATATGAAACTAATATCACTGACTGGATGACATTAGGAGTTAAATTAAATTTGCTTTGTCGTCAAATGTTTTTACTTATACTCCAATTTTTGGACTTAAAATAAATTGTTTGAAAACTAAATTAATCGATATGATTTTCGTTTTGGACGATATAGATAACAATTGCCTTTTTTTTGCATGGCCACCTCACTATTATGTAATTTATATATAAGTTATTTAAGATTAGAATATAAAAACCAGGAAAACCAAGATATTTCGAAAACTATCAGAGATAGGTATAGGACATTAATAGCAAAAGTTGAAGGTTTTGGAGGAGCTAAAAGATGACAGAAAAATATACAGGGTGTTCCATTAAAAAAGTGAGATTTATTAATATAAAGTTTTGCAAACTTGGACCTATAAAAAACACCCTGTAAGCTATTTTTTTAATGTTTCATAGTATATCTATTTATTTGACTTTTACTTAACCCAGGATATAAGATAAAACCTGGAATCGAAATTTAAGTAATAATTTTGACATTATACTGACGCATGCAAATGCCCAATTTTTCTTACAAATCGAATTATCTTTAAAACTACTAGTTTTTCGGATATTTAACCACATAATAAAAAATACGTACAATTACACGTAGAATTCTAAAATGCATTCAAATACAGGGGATTTGGCGCCCTGCTTTGTGGGCGCACCCTGTATAATTCCAAATATTTTTAAAATGTGGAGAATATATTCAACCATCTCATAATACAAAAGCACTCTTATCGAAAAATCTTATCTTCAAGGCATTAAGCTACTCCGCGCAATCGTTGATTCACCCTGTACAAAACGAAGCGAAAGAAAGTTAGTAGTTATTTTACATCCGTATTCGGCCAATTTATTTAGCAGATTCGACTTATTCACTGTGAAATTGTCTTTAAAGTGGTTTTATAGTGCCGTTTTTTCAGTTACTGGCTTTTTAGTCGTTCATTAGCAATTATCACAGTAGACAGAGTTGGCGCTGCTTAGACTCAAACTCGCCGTATAAACGGCCTACTAGCTCAGAGGAAAATAAAACATAAGCTTGAGATCTTTCACAGCGGTAGTTCGTTCTGGACATATGATCTTCGTTCTTCACTACTATACTTACCAATGGGGTTGAGCGCCACTCAATTTCTCTCTCTGCTTATGAATTGAAAAGATACGAGGGTAGTAGTAACGTAAAAATCAAAAAAATTGTCCCTATATTCCCCCAAATATTCAAAATTATGGCTTACGTTACTCACAATTCTTAGTAACTTCACTTTACAATTGAAATTCCCCAATTAACGAAACCCTCAATAGAGAATGATTGATTAGCAAACTAATTGAATATCTTGAAATAACAAAAGGTTGCCAAAAGCAGGATTAAGGCGAATACTGAAAGCATACTAAGTATAGTCACAGATAAATCGTAACAATCTTACCTTGAAATAATAAATCTCGGTCGTTGTAGAGAGCTCTCCGGTTAGCGAATCCGATCCTGTAACAAAAGAAAATCGGCGCACCTAAACTCAGTGGTACCGTGGTGAACTAATATTAATGCCTGAAGGGCCAATGCATATTATTTGTGGCTGTAAGTTCAAGATTGAAAACATGCACTCTGTGTAGAAATCAGGAGGTGCAGAACTAAAGGAAGGTTCGGGTGCTTATCTCGTGGCCCAAGCATCCAGATGGTCAGTGCAATCAATACAACGGTCGTATTGCGCCCAATTACATTGATATCTCAACCTGGTAATTTTAACACCCTCAATCTATTGACCTCCGCAGTCATTTTTGCATCAGCTAACGTACCTACTATGCTGCAAGCTCCCTAATTCATTTGACGAAAGTGTTAACATTAAAATAAATGAAAGACAAAATTAAGGTTTTTTATTCACTAGGTATAAACAACTACAATTTGAACACTTTTGAAGCATTGTGATCTGTAACATGACTCCTGTAGACGCCCTTGTCCGTTGTTAAGTACCCACAATAAATGCACTTAAACTCGATACCAACAGGCTTGTGTTTAGGGGAGGATAAATTTAATGTACTCCCGCAACCAGATTGATTACCTTTTGTTACATTTTCAGGATTGTGCTTAAGAGTATGTCTTTTGAAACGTGCCCTACGTTTCGTTATATATGGACAGTGAGCACATTGAAATTCGGTAGAAAGATCAGTCAAATGGTCATCTATTTTCTTCTGGCAAATTCTGAAATGCTGCCTCAGAGATTCTTTGTTATTTGCAGAGTACGTGCAGTTATTACAGTGGACTACTGCAAACTTGCTATGTATACGAGCGTGCCTTTTTACATTAATCTTACTTTTCGAGGTAAATGAGCATTGATTGCATTTATAATCGACGCTGTATAGATTGTGCTCGGCGATGTGGGCTTTCAGAGAGGATTCAGTGCCAACTGTAAAACCACATTGGTCGCATTTCAACAAATTCATTTTGCCATGAGTTTCACTATGCTTTCTGAGGCTATTTATGTATTTTGTTTCAAACGGACACTGATCACACTTTAGTGGTTTTACAGTACTGTGTACCCTCAAGTGTGGAATAAAGATTTTACGATTCGGTGTCGAAAAATAACAAATGTCACACACGTACACAATGCCAGAGATATCATGTTTCTTAATGTGGGCGTTAAACTCGTGATCTGAAAATGATGTAAATGCACATCGATTACATGTTAATAATTGTGTATTTCTATGTATCTTAACATGCTGAATCAAGTTCCCCTTATAGTTTGTGGCATAGGAACATTGTGCGCAGTGTAATGCAGTTGGAGAGGGATAATGTAATTTTATGTGCTTTTTCAATGAAGATTTATGTTTTGTTGTATATTTACATTTTGGACAGCTATGCTGAATAGCTAACGGGTCGTGGTTTCTCTTATGATCTCTTAATAGTCCCGGCTTGTCAGTTAAGTAATTGCACTGATTACACTTAGTAAACAGCGATTTATGTGCTAATAAACAATGTCTCCGCAAGGTCCATTTTGTCTGGGCTGTGTGAGGACATCGAGTACATTTAAATAGTCCAAATTTGCCTTCTTTTTCACTTTCACCTTCTCCCAAAATTTGTGAGTGAGGGTTGACCATAGGTTTCTCATCATCCTTGGATGTAACTCTTAGTAAGTTACAAGAAGTCAGCTCTAATTCTTCTGCACAATCCTTGATCTTTGTTGCATTTCCATTGGTGCCAGTGGTGATGGTTGAATCTACTTCGGTTTTAATGTAACTATTAAGATATATTTCAGTATTGTTGAGTTTTTGATCAAACTCGGATTCAGTCTTGATTTCCATTACCTTCCTTTGAATTAACATTAGATAAAATTAAATACATTACTTTCCACTTGTACCTACCTATTCCTGGATAGCTTAAAAGATTTTGAAAACCTAACCTAAAAATTCAAACACATGTACTTTAGGCATTTATACGACACTAGATGGCGCAAACATAGACTTCAAATTATGGGCGGGAAAATTTGCAATAAGCATACAGTGATAATTGATAAAATTCGATCCTTATAAATAAAGGAACACATTTACTTTTATACAAGCCTATCGTGTAAGTGAAAAAGATGCACACCGGGCTAGTATTCGGTCAGGAAGCTCGCAGAATAGTCAGTGTACGACGGAATGTATCGGGTGATCAAAAATAAGTGACTGTCGAGTTCGAGTTTAGTACAATTTATAAACAAAAATTCCAAAGGTGACTCGACGGTCACTTGATCCCTATGTACTACTAGTCTACTAACCACTTTCTACAATCTACAATAATTGCTTACTAAATTACCTCCGGGAAGCAGTCTCGCAACCCCTAACGTAGAAAAATTTAACTTATGGTAGCCAGAGCTGGGCAGAATACTTTCAAAAAGTATTTGAATACTTTGGAAAGTATTTCATTATCTTACTTTGAAAAGTATTCGAATTCAGTAAAAAGTATCAAAATACTTGTCACTCATTAAAAATTTTAAATAGTATACTAGATAAAAGGCTTAATACTACTTAAAAAATCAAGTTATACTTTGTGTGGGGTTAGCTTTTTTTATATTTCTATTGTTATATACAAATTTAAGGGGAGTAACAGCGTATTATTATTATTATATTATTATATAGGAGGTACCTACCAGGACCTTTCTTATACCAGTTATATCCTTAAGAATACGTGTACCAGTTTTCAAAGCGTCGTGCACATGGTACGCCTTTCTGAAATTAATCCTAGCGATTTTGGAACAGATCCATTTTTGACCATCCGTTTGTCCGTGTGCATGATGGTTTGTTTAGACGCGTGCGATCGCTTTGAAAATTGGTACACATGGTCTTAATAAGGATATAAGAAAGGTCCCTATTGGTTTTAAGTTACGTAGACTATCGAGTCAAAAAGTTTCACTCCAGGATCGTTCGGTATTCAGTTGTATCGGATTTTTATATTTCATTTTGTGACAATGGAAACTTTCCCTAAACATTTCTAAATTGTTCTCAAATATTTGAATAACTTAAAAGTACTGCCTTTTTTTGAGGCAAAAAACATTTTCCTATAGAATTTGGCCCGTAGAATCCATAATTTCAAACAGTTTGAAGATTGGACTACTAGATCAAAAGTTACAGCCCTTTGAATTTTTTTCGAAATTTGTTTTTGTCCATAACTTTTATTGAGAGGTCTAATCGAAAAAGTACGAATAGTTTTGGATTCTACGCACCAAAATTAATAAGAAAAAGTGTTTTCCCGAGAAATTTTGGTGTAGTCGATTTTTGGTAAAAAAGGAAGGTTATACACTGCCTTTTTTTGAGGCCCGAAAAAAAAATTGTCTCAGATCGACCCGGAAAAAAATGTTCTTATAGAATGTGGCCTGTAGAATCCATAATTTCAAACAGTTCCAAGATTGGGCTACTAGTTCAAAAGTTACAGCCCTTTGAATTTTCTTTCGAAATTGGTTTCTAGTCTATAACTTTTGATTGAGAAGTCTGATCGAAAAAGTACGAATTGTTTTGGATTCTACGCACCAAAATTAATAAGAAAAAGTGTTTTCCCGAGAAATTTTGGTGCAGTCGATTTTTGGTAAAAAAGGAAGGTTGTACACTGCCTTTTTTTGAGGCCCGAGAAAAAAATTGTCTCAGATCGACTCTGAAAAAAAATTTTCTTATAGAATGTGACCTGTAGAATCCATAACAGTTCCAAGATTGGGCTACTAGCAGCATTAAATAATAATTCATATTTATTATTCAATGCTAGTAGTGAAAAAAAGTATTTAATTACAAAGTATTTGAATACTTTAAAGAATTTGAATACTAAAAAGTATTTACAAAATCGAATACTGCCCAGCTCTGATGGTAGCTCGGATAAAAGGGTAGTATAATGGGCATATCCCCTTCGTTATTCTAGGTACCCAGTTTATACATTACTTTTGAACTTGTTACACTTTTAGATTAAAAAACTCGTCGCCAAATGTTGTGTTTTACTAATTAACACACTGGGCTCATTTACTTAGGTACATACGTGTAAAAGACAACGTACAATAAATAATGACAATTTAATATTCTGATTATATTCTTTACCATATGAACAACAACAATCGTGTGCCAGTGCCAGTGCCACCATACACAACAGTAGGAACACATTTTTTTGATACTTTTTTGTTAACTTTGGGTAGATGAGGCGGGGTTATTTCAGTTGGTTATTTATAAACAATGCAATAAGTGCAATTATTTGAAAGGTAAAAATATGATATTAAACATATTATAGAATTCATGCACGTAATTGATACAGAGATGGCTAAACAATTTACTTATACCATAATAATGTTACATTGCGTTTTTATGGGAATTACAAACAAGTTTAATAGCGTCTAAAGATAAAAGATTTTTAATTTTATAGGTCGTTTATTTTTAAAGTAGTAAGCGTCAGCATCTTGTCTTTTCTTCTTTTTATTTCAGACACTAGGGGCAATTACAAGAGATTTAAGATAAGTCAGAGAGCGTTTTTTTTTATTCCCTATACGCGCGATTGGGAAAAATGTCTTTGGCATATAAAGCCTAATAGTTATTTAATATTCCAGTGAAGGAGGGAATATGTAAATGAATAAAGCAAATGTTGAACCATTACTTGCAGTTCGTGTGTTATTATCACGAATGGGTATGTGCAACAAAATTATGGTTTCGCGCTAATTGCAAATAAATGATATAGCGGTGGCGCTTTTTGATTCATTCATCACCCGTTACAGGCATCTCAAATGCTAAGAACATACGGTATAGTGTGGGATAAACGGAATGTTATTTTAATTAATACAAGCGTGCGATGTCAGCCGTTAAAACGCATGCATTAATAAATGTCATGTTCGAAATCAATCAGTGCATTACTGATGCAGGGTTGTAAAATGAAACCGGTATGGGGCTCTATAAATGCCGTTCAGTTCAATGGACTGGACACTGATGGCGAGTACATTTACATAAAAAGTCAAGTGTTATGCAACAGTTTTGGACCTACTGTCCTACTCCAAATAAATGATGAAAGTAAAAGTATTTTAAAAAAAAGAATTTTCATATGCAATATCATAGGGCATCTAATTTTTCAGAATAAAATCGAAAAAGCTGGATTTAGAAAAGGCTATATAAACCTCGCGCCAGGAAAGTTTGCCGGTCACAGAACACTTGATCCCGATCTACGATCTATGGTTTTCTAAAGATGTAAGCGACTTCCGAGATAGTATCGTGTCAAAGACTTTTCGTTCAACATTAGCACGATCCTATTCTGGAAGTCGCCCGCATCTTAAGAAAAACATAGATTGTAAATCGACACAAGGTGTGCTGTGACCGGCAATCTTTCTTGGCGAGAGTTATAGTTTCACCGCTCTTTTGGACATTGCTGACAACATACTCCAGAGCTATCGATAAAGGGGAGTTTGCTGCGTTAGTGTTTTTGGATTACGCCAAAGCCTGTGACACGCTTAATCATCAACTGTTGTTCTCAATTTTACATTACATAGGCCTTGGGGACATGGTAATTGAACTCTTTTCTTCTTATCTTACAAATAGATATCAGCGGGTTAAATCATGGTTAGGAATTTCAAGTTCTGAGCTCGTTCGATCCGGGGTACCTCAAGGGTCTGTTCTTGGGCCTCTACTTTATTCAATCTACACATCGTTTCTTTATCTTCTAAGATGTATCTATCATATTTATGCAGAAAAAGGAAATATAAGTACCTACTTAGTAATACTAATCCGGATAGGCGCCACTTCAGTCACTTTCAAAAGAGAGGGGACAAACTTACCAAAAGGGGGAAACAAGACAGACTAAGAAATCCTTGTTTTGATCTTGAAAAGCTAAAGAGATAGGTACATAAAATACTGGATAGGGATTAGAACATAAACAATAATTGACGTCACAATCGAGGATAATTTAATGATTAATCTCAAAAATATTATAAATAGGTCACAGTAATATACAAAGTGCTTTTTTTGGGAGCTTTAGCTAAACTAAAAGCTCACTTTTTTTAAACGAAATAACCATTTTCTTACTACTGCATTTTGATAGACATGTTCCTATAGCTATCCTTAACAGTTTCTACTTTATTCCCATTTCATTGAATTGATTCCATTTTTCTTTAATTGTGTTTATTTTATAGTGGGCTGAGTGTTAGCTAATTAGCTACTCTCCCACTCAACCCACTATAAAATCACATGCAGCCATGCCTACGCAGGTCGGCAAATTAGTAGTCGGCTATGATTTTATGACAGTCGAATTTTAAACAAATCTAGTGACACTAATCCGTCACCTGTTATAGGTTAACAGTTTTTCAATAATCGAAAACCCATTTAAACTAACGAAAGTCTTTCTGGTGTTCTCGTGAAGTAGGCTATGATTTTTTGGAACTATTTTGTCCAGAAATGAAAGGGTACATTGATAACGAGGTTTGGTTCATTCGTTTATTTTTATGGTTAACTTCACGGGAGCGCCCTACCAGAGCTGGGTAGTGCTTTGAAAAAGTGCTGTGACTTCAATTACTTTTCTAATTCAGGAAAAAGTGCTTCAATTCCCAAGCACTTTTTAAAAGTGCTTGGAGCTTCAAGCCTTATTGAACTGCTTGAAGCACTTTCATACAATTTCGAGCACTTCTAAAGAGCTTCAAGCACTTATCAAGGGCTTCAAGCACTTATAAAGAGCTTCAAGCACTTATAAAGAGCTTCAAGCAGCTTAAAGCACTTTCAAAGAACTTCAAGCACTTTTTAAGGGCTTCAAGCACTTACAAAGAGCTTCAAGCACTTTCATAACGAAGCTCTTATCGTGAATTAGGTGACGAATTTAGAAAACCCTTAGTCTTACTCATTCCTTCACTCCTACTCTGACGTTACCTACGTGTTCTGTGCTTCATTAGTGATTAGTCTGCAGTCTGCACATCTCACTGTTGACTTCTTGTTTTTCGTATTGTGTGGTTTCCTGTGAAAGGGGTCGTACGATTTCGCGAACAAAAAAAGGAAGAGGTAATAGTTCTGCCATTTATTAACGCTGCCCTATCATATTTAGGGCATACCGGCATACGTTAAGTTTTGTTATAGTTATTACGATAGGTATAATCAGATAATTTACTGCCGCGTATATAATACATAAAATACATTACCTGAACGGCAAAAAAAGTACCTAATTAATTACCACGCACTTGCCACTAAATTAAACATTTTTATAAGAGGCCAGAAAATAACATCAAACCGCCAAAATAGTAAATACCAAGAATAGTAGAAGTTTAAATTTTGGTATGCAAGTTATTTTTTTAATTAAGTCTTAACCCTTATATCTGTATTACTTTGATTATAAGGAATTGTTATCTTTTATTGTCCTTTTATATTTGTAATTAAGAATTATTACCTACATACTAAAAGTACACAAATGTTCTCTGTGCATTTCTTCACCTAACATACTATCACTAATTTCAATTATTTCAGAAGATACGTCTTGGTAGGTACGTACTTACAAGTAACAAGTGTCAAGGAATTTCCGAGCAACATTCTGGATTTTTTTCTTGTAGTTTATAGCACATGCAGTTATTACTTCTACATTAGTCATTACCCATGGGTACGGGGAGAGTACTGTATCGATAACAACATTTTTTTGTTTACCTAATCGCTTTAAACGAAAATTTGGACAAGCAAAACTTTAGCGATAAAACCACTAATTCCTCCAGTATAATTACGATGCGGAAGTACTGTTTCTAGCGTGTTTTTTAAAGTGATTCCAGCAGGCTAGAAACCAATTTTGAAAAAAATTCAAAGGGCTGTAACTTTTGAACTAGTAGCCCAATCTTGGAACTGTTTGAAATTATGGATTCTACAGGCCACATTCTATAAGAAAATTTTTTTCCGGGTCGATCTGAGACAATTTTTTTTTCGGGGCTCAAAAAAAGGCAGTGTATAACCTTCCTTTTTTACCAAAAATCGACTACACCAAAATTTCTCGGGAAAACACTTTTTCTTATTAATTTTGGTGCGTAGAATCCAAAACAATTCGTACTTTTTCGATCAGACTTCTCAATCAAAAGTTATAGACTAGAAACCAATTTCGAAAAAAAATTCAAAGGGCTGTAACTTTTGAACTAGTAGCCCAATCTTGGAACTGTTTGAAATTATGGATTCTACAGGCCACATTCTATAAGAAAATTTTTTTCCGGGTCGATCTGAGACAATTTTTTTTTCGGGGCTCAAAAAAAGGCAGTGTATAACCTTCCTTTTTTACCAAAAATCGACTACACCAAAATTTCTCGGGAAAACACTTTTTCTTATTAATTTTGGTGCGTAGAATCCAAATCAATTCGTACTTTTTCGATCAGACTTCTCAATCAAAAGTTATAGACTAGAAACCAATTTCGAAAAAAATTCAAAGGGCTGTAACTTTTGAACTAGTAGCCCAATCTTGGAACTGTTTGAAGTTATCGATTCTACAGGCCACATTCTATAAGAAAGTATTTTTTCCGGGTCGATCTGAGACAATTTTTTTTTCGGGGCTCAAAAAAAGGCAGTGTATAACCTTCCTTTTTTACCAAAAATCGACTACACCAAAATTTCTCGGGAAAACACTTTTTCTTATTAATTTGGGTGCGTAGAATCCAAATCAATTCGTACTTTTTCGATCAGACTTCTCAATCAAAAGTTATAGACTAGAAACCCTGGTTTCCAGTAATATGAAAGGTGCTTTATATTGTTTATATTTATATTAATTTATATTGTCAATTACTGTGATTCAAGCACTTTTAATGGCTTCAAGCACTTTAAATGGCTTCAAGCACTTTCCAAGGGCTTGGTGCTTTGTATTTTCAATTACTTTAGAAAGTGCTTGGTAATTCCAAGCTCTTTAATCACATAAAAGTACTTAGGGCTTGCAAGCACTTTTATCAAAACAAAGTGCTCGGTGCTCAAGCCCTTTTCAAGAGGGCTTTACCCAGCTCTGCGCCCTACGCCCCTACTGCAACTTCCGCTTTTTTCTTTAGGGCGTCTGGAATCTAGTCCAAGAGCACTTGGAATGGAATTTTGATTTAAGTGTGGTATTTTATTATGTGGGAGGATTTTTTAAATCTTATGTTGGATTGATCTTCATCATTCGCTTTTTTTCGACTATCTTTCTTGATGTGTTCTTGTTTTACGCAATATTTGTACTTAATTAAATCTATTCGACATTGCCTGTCCCAAGGTGCTTGAAGTTGAAACGTAAATTGATCCATGAATTTTATTTCAAACTCTCAATATACATTTAATGTTAACAAACTTACTAACAGCTCAAATTTCAGGAAGGATATTAATGTTACCAGTCCATATACAACAGTTACCAAAAGATGCACTTCATTGGCACCTCGACTGCAGTCTGCTATAGCCTTGTTCCTAATTACGCAAGAATCTGGATCGCGAATTTCTTAGAAACCTATCGAGCGATTAATGAGTAATGCAAAACAAGTAATTTTGCAATTTTTTTAGGTAACTCGGACCTCGGATATGAGTGAGGAGAACAAACCTGAAAAAGTGTGGAAGGGATGGATATATGCGCAAATGGTTGTTCAAGTGTGACGACTTTGCCAGTAATGATATTACAAAGACGGTACCACTCGCAATTGAAGCCTTAATTTAGTACAGGTAAGGTCTATTGAGAAGAAAAGATTACTTAAAATTTGTTCTCAATGACTAAAGGAGAAACAAATTCTCCTTTCCAATGAAAAGAACTTTTGTACCCTTGTATAAGGGATAATTTATAACAAAACTTGTTTGCATGTGAGCATCATAATGCTCTGTAGACATAGGCTGTCTTTCTTAAAATTTGCAACTTAAATACCTACATAGGGAGGCGAATTTTTATAGTCACGATTATGCAAAATTAAACAATATTATGTGTGAATAATAAATACTTACCATGAATAATTTATTGTGAGTATCTGTTTTGAATACCACTAAACAACTTATACCTATAATAAAGGTGTAAGTAATGGTTAAATTTCCTATTAAAAATAATCATGCGAGAAGAATGTTCTTAAACATAATTTATATTTTGCTAGGATTCAGGAATTAATTTTTCTATTTGGGACAATTAAGCACAACTATATAATTAAAATGGTTTATACAATTGCTCTCAAGAGAGAATGGCAAGGATAGGATAGGGGTCGGTTAACTACCAGGGTTATAATTTAATACGTCTGGCAATTGCAAAGGAACGTCGATGTATTTCTTTCGTCTGTCATAAGTCGGTCTCTTTTCCTAGGTCAACTAAATTTAGCGGAACGAAGAATTCAAAAAGGCACCTTAACCTTCACTTGAATGACTGCAATAAAGTCATGGTTAAATTATTACTCGTTGCGGCATGAAGAGTTTCGACTTTCGAGGGATGTCGGTCGTACGTTAATTTCATACTGACTTTTTTGCTGTAGGTACATGTGCGGGTATCTAATTTTATGGTTGTAATATGGGCGCTATATTTATTGTTCTTTGCATGTAACGAATATAGTCATTTGAATAATTGCGAATTTTATTGCAAAATTACTGTTGAGAATCTGATAGATTTATTATTATTACTTACTCTCATGCATTTCTCAAATATGATTCAATCTTTTACATCTTTCATACAAATGAACAATAACAATGAAGTCTGAATTAAATTTTTTTTTTAATGGTTACTAATTTATATCTTCATTTTCTTCTACCATTCGTACTATTTTGAAAAGAAATACCTATCATATAGCATTTTAAATTCTGAACAACTTTGATCTCTTATGCTTTTACTCTAAAATAATCAGGGGAGCAGGAAACTGCAAAAGTGCGATTTTACATGTAAATTGCTATTAGCGAAGGGTCGAATCAGCACCCGGTATATTTGTTATTTGATGAAAAGATATACATAGATCAACATATTTATAATTTATAATGTGTGTAATACGTAATAGTAATAGGAAATTACGGAATAAATGCTTATAAAATATAAATATATACAGGGTGAGTTTTTTCCAATGTTTAGTATGGTCATTGTATATTTATACATACGGGGTGTTTTAAATCTTGCAGTCGGCTATATGATCCAAACTAATGAAGATATTGAAAATCGCGCAAAACAGTTTCGGGGGTATCAAGGGGGAACCAGAATGACGTTATGAGTGACAATCCCCCCCTTAACCCCCCAGTCCCCTCTCTTAAAAAATCATAAATAGTAACCCCATACTTGAAAAGCTACTGAAAAATGCTTTCCAGTGGTACCAATAAAGTCAATATTCATTACGACAATTTAACAAAAATTTAATAATTAACAAAAAAATTTAATGTTGACATTGAGGGAATTATGGCAAATTGGCCAAGAACTTCAACCTGAGCTACTTCATTAAGCAATCTTGGTTGCTTTCTCTTTATATTGATAAGATTTCGGGTAAAATTTAATACAAAACTCGTCAATAAAATGACATTACCATTACTTGACTCGGAAATTAAAGTACTCGGCCCCAAAGGGTTCTTGTACTTCAATATTTCCTCGCCAGTAATGTGTAATTTTTCTGACTCTTATGTAAATAATTATTATGGACGCCATATTGAATTTTTACGTTACCCGATAGGGAAAAATATTACAAAACCAGTGACTAAAGTATTTCATTTGGTAATCAATATTGATTTTTGCCTTGAATTTTACAGTGTATTCCTTATGGCAATATTAATGGTAATTATGCGAGACAATAAAATCATTTCGAGCAAGCCATGGACTTATTGCCATAAGAAAAACATTGTAAACTTCAAGGCAAAAATTCTAAAGTAATTTCCAAATGAAATACTAAGTATCACTGATTTTGTAATTGATATTTCGAAATAAATGACACATTTTTATGGTCACTTTTTTCCTTCTACAAGATGCTACTTTTAAAACTAGCATCTTGCCATAATAATATGTTATTTATTTTGAAATTTTGTTTAAATAACTTCAGTAAAAAATAAAAACGAAATGCATTTTTTTCAAGCATCAAAATACGCAACTTTGCCAAATTTAAACTACCATTTCAAATGCGAAAATCTCCGAAACGAATCAATAGAATTTAAAAAGCAAAGCAGATTAGTAATCACGATTAAATTGGCTTTCAAATAATGTGCCATTTGCCATAGGATTCCATTTAAAATTTTAGGGGTGAAGACCTTGGGTTCGTGATTTGTATTCCAAAAGTTGTCCCCCTCGAATACAAAATTGACGTGTTCGAGGATTTTTCGAAATTTCTAAATTTAATACCCTAAAAGCTCTCTGTATACTTCTCGTTGGGCCACTCTGTATAATAATATAATGTAATAATACATAATAATAATATGAAACTATAATTACATATTTCGACTTACTAATTATTACTTAGAAATACAAATATGTTTAACCGTTTGTCTGCTTTGAGACATTCGTGAAGTTAGCTCCATGAGAACGCATTATGGACTGGAAATAGTTATACGCAAAATTGTTTTTTTTAATATAAAAAATATAAATTTAAAAATTTACTTACAAATTTAGATTTTTAGTTTACAAGTACCTACTTACTAATTAGTAAGCGGCAAATTGAATATAAATTCGGAATTTCAGGGGCACGGGCAAGATTTTGCGTCCGATGTGTTTCAAGTCCTACCGTAAAAGTATTCAGGCTCTCATTGATAATTTAAATCTGAAAGTTTACATAACCATATAATTTTTCATGATCTATTGAAAGAAAATATCATCACTTCCGGTTTTTGCCGGACGTCGATAACCACTTTCTTATTTTAAATAGAACACCCTATATTTTATTGCATTTTCGAAATCTACATCAAAATCTACGTCATGTGATAAACCCCTGATGCGGGGATTTTCAATTTATTCAAAATTTTTGACGTTTGACTGCTTTTCTTTTGGGCTCCGTTGACTTCAAAGTTTCCCAAAATCAACAACACTCGCTACGTGACCATTTTGAAATTATGACATTTGAAAGTGCAAAAAAAGCATGTTCTGTTCTTCAGTAACTTGGTGTGACGTCTTTAACAGTATTTTCCCAATTTTTTCGATTTTGTACGTTCAGAGCAATGTTTCTTGTCAATTTTCTCTTAATTAAAAATCATATAAGAAACGTCCTTTGAAATTACGTTAACAGCACGTAAATTTTTAACTGCAAGGTGGCTCGCTCTCATCTTCGGCATTGTTACATCCCCCTGCAGTTTACAGGCAAAATTTTCAAACTTGTATTTAAAATCTTTCTTCTGGTTATGAAGATATTTCATCAAATCAATTAAAAATTAGTTACTATCCTGCGTTTTTCAAAATTGCGAACTAACCAACGAACGACCAAGACAAAAGTACTAAACTTATACTTAATCAAAACGTCAAAGGCTTTAGTAATCGAAATTACATCTCATTTTCCTTGCTCTTTACACCAAACGTCCTCTTGCACTCTCAGGCTATTCCGAAGACGATCAAAACCGTGTACTTGGACATCAATTAAAAATGATTAACTACTCATTTATCACCGATACAGTAATTTCAAACGTATCGAAGATGAAATATGGTAGCTTGAAGGTGCAATTTTCAGTTGGCATGGAAATTGATACGACACGTTAACCTGTGCATTAAAATTAGCTCGCAGCGTGGCTGTGTTTGTATTCGAAAATTGCAGGGTAAACTACGTAATAATAAATAACACCTGCACTGAGAATTTCTTAGCTTTCATTTTGTAATCAATTTTGATTTAGGTTGATGCGCTTGGTCGCCTTGGCTCATCTAAAAGATGAAGATGCGTTTGATGACACTCTTTCTTATCGCTTTTCCAGGTGATATTGTGCACAATAGTAGAAAAATTATAGTTCAGGTGTACAATAAACTATTTGTATGGTGCTTATCACCGACATTCCTTTCTAAGTACACATGCCCATCATTCTATTGTTATTGTATACGGGTGGTATGTACCTACTTATTTTAATGAGTGATTCACACCACTTCTAATTGTCAAAGAATGTTTGGAATCAAACCCGTTGAAAATTACCACAAAAATCAGGACAATTTCATTTCAAAAACGTATTTAGCATTTACAGGAAAAAAAAGTGTTCAAATTCAACACACTATTCTATACGTTCATGTTTATGGGTAAGTGGAATTCTCAGCTCTAACAATCTCTCTTCCTCTTCGAACTACCACTTAGAATTCATCTCACATTATAAGGCCCGGTTTAAAAAAAACAATGTGACTGAATGTATAAACATATTTTTTCTGGACAGATCACACCTATACACTTAGGTACCTATGTAAAACAGTATATCGTGCGTGACATACTGATCGCCGCCCTACAATAGACATAACCGGTTAACGTCTTTCTTTCCAATATAAATTTCATCCTCCCTCGACTTCTTGGAATATAAGTTATTGGTAGTATTGTGCATACTACATAAACGTAAAATGACCGCAAAGGATACGTTGCTACTGCAAATTAAATCCGGTAAAATTCGGACTAGAAGTGCTTTCCGGAAAATTTGAAATAGGTTTTGATCAACTTTCAATTTTACAATTTGACCAATATTAAGTACATGTACAGACATTACGAAAACAACGTTGAGTGAAGGATTCCTTATTCACTCAACGGTCATAACTCCCAACCCTTTCACTTAACACA